TAATGATGTGTACAATTCCCACGATGATGCATGCGTGTAGCGTATACCTCCCACGGGGATAAACAAAACACCCCGACACGTGCCATGCGTGCAATCTCGGTGGTGAATATCCCGACATTTCCTCGATTGGACGCGCTTCCCTCGGGTCTCCGTGACTCATCTCTCATCACGACGGAAAAATTCTCACACTGCCACTCACACCGGAGCAACACAAAAAGACCCTTTTTCTATGCTTCTTAATAAGCTACGCCGATGGGATACGGGGGGGGGGGGAGTAGCCGCCTCGCCCCGCCACCCACCCCCCGCGGGCTGCACGTGGGATCACATGACTTTACCAGATGAGTCATACGTCAGGTTGCAGGCGGAAAAGACATCAGCCGTGCGCCACTGAGCCAGAAACTCCAGTGAGACTGGCAGGCTGTTGGCAGCTGGCGGCCTTCTGTGACTTTTCTGGTTAAGTGATGTTCGATTTGATGTTGGGACGTCCCCCCTCCCACCACCACCTCAAAATTGGTGGGGATGCGTGGGGGTATTTCTACTGTTTCACACCTCATTAGGTTGGTTAATGCCAAACTCGAAAGGTGGAGACGCATGCTTGTCTTGCATTGCAGTGAGAGCAAGCAACTGGTCTGTCTCCTACCGACAATGGCTCTAGGTACTGGACAACTCTTCTTTCAGTAAAAAACCCATGCGCTTCATGAAATATGTTCAAGATGCCATTCTATGATGCAGGTGCACCAAATACAGTATCCAGTGAATTCAAAATTGACACTGGTGAGTCATCGGTGGGCATCAGTGAAGCGAGGGTCCCTGATGAGACAGACCGACAAAGATCCCGGCGGAAAGTCTGCCACGACGATGCAGAGTTTCCATGGCAACATGGCCTGACTAGAACATTTTTTTTCCCCCCTCTTTCAAATGAGGCGCCATTTGAGATCCAAGTGGCAGTCTTTGTGTACACAAAGCCAGGGTGGGCCGCCAGGTCATAACTACAGGGGGAACATTGCGTCTCCGGCGACAAGTCGACAAAATGATTGGGCCTGCGCGACCTTGCTGCTTTGCAATGTCGTGGTGATGAAGTCAAGGTGACCCCCCCCCCACCCCCCATTGCACTTCTGACATGCAAAGGAGAAGGAAAGGATGCTGAGCTAAATGTCCCATGATGCAATGTTGTTGGTGCTCATCTCCAAGGTGTATTTCTGGTGCACTTAAGTTCATCTACAGAGGTCTAACGGCTCAGATGAGTTCCATCTTGTCCACATCTCACAAGCCTGCGTCGCAGTCTCGCTCCTTCGTGTAAACGTGTCAGTCGTGGGTCTCGCCACCCCACCTCCCACAACCGCGAGCTCCTACTCGCTCTCACCCACGCCATTTTTGGTCATATTCAGATGAACAGTGACTGGCTCGACAGTTGGTGGTTCTTGGAGCAAAGCTGGGAGCTCCTATTGATGATTTCGCAAGCATTCTTGTATCATTTTCACGCACGTCTGGTCTCCTCCAAGACAACTGGACCCAAAGCAAACGTGTGTGAGTCCATTTGACACTGTATATTAAGATGCGGTATATGTGACTTGATGAAAAGCAATTCGCCTTGAGCCGTTGAGTCAACAAACGCTCTTCTCCGAGAAAACCGCAAACGGCGTTTATTTTACTGGGAGTCGCTTCCCTCGGCCGCTTTAAAAGCCGCGTCGGTAATCTCTGTGAAATCTCTCCTCCCCGCAGGCGATGTGCCCATCTTGGGGGTTTACTCCTTAGAATTCAATGTGCAGGTTTCACTATTAAAAGACCGTGGGAAAAAAAAAAAAAAAAGGCCGCCAAGGCCGAATTTGCAAATTAACCGTGGAACCCGGAGTTTGTTTTAACACTCGGTGAGGAATTATTTACAACCAACCAGAATGAGAAGCATCCATTGGATCAGCAAACAGAAAAAAGCATATTCTGTTTTTGCATGTGATATCAATTGTTAGAAAGCAAAAAGAGAAGAACAATGCAGAATCCTTTCTAACATCTTTGACATAGCGAATTCTCTCAATGATCCTAAAACCATGGCGCCATCCACATTAAAAAAGCAGAGACAAAAAGGCTTTGCCATTGAGCAGCAACGATCCACTGAAATTACCCCAAAATGTCAGCTGCAAACACACACACACACACACACACACACACACACACACACACACACACACACACACACACACACACAAACACACACACACACACACACTCATACAAGCACATCCAAGCACGCTTGCACTTGCACGCAACTTCACATCCTGACATCCATTTCCTGCAGCAAAACCTCCCTGTTATTATTACACAAGACTCAAGTTGGAGATCCGCCATGTTTCACAAAAGCCCAGTCGGTGCATCCGAGGGTTAACAGTGCGGCTGCGGTCGTTCCCGCCGCAGGAAGGAAGATATTTGCTTTGGTTGTCACGCCGAAAAAAAATGAATGGGCAACAAACTCGGTTTGTCGAATGCTGGCTTTCCGGTAGCCTGCTGACGCCCTGTGAAGGACGATACAGGGACCGAAGGATTTTAACTTTTTACAGTTCTTGCATTAGCGTCAATTGCACATTTTAAAATATCTGTTGGGGAGGGCATTCCGGGACCCAAGTGTGTCACGCAAGACTGTTTTTGCCAAGCCCTATAAATTAAGAAAAGTGAAATAGTGAAAAACAGTTGAAGGCTATAGTATATATTCACAAGTGAGGCCATCGTTGTTCTTATACTTTGCACGGGTTTTCACCAATTCTTACTCGAGATGTTTAATATATTTGGAAACAAATCTCTGAAAAAACTTTGGAGGGTCTATCATATTTTGAAATAACTGATGGAACAACACATAGGGAAGTGATAGCTTTGCATTTTCTCACTCCTTCCCATTCACATTCAATCACGAACTTGTAATACTGTTTACGTGGCTCCATGCGGGTTGAAGCTGGGAAAAATGGGAAAGGAACGGGAAAGCCTCCAGAATCAGGCACACCGACCAAGCGTAACATTCCACATAACACAACCACATAACGCGTGCGTGTGTGTGTGTGTGTGTGTGTGTGTGTGTGTGTGTGTGTGCGTGCATGTGCCGTGTGTGTGCCATATGTGATTAGAAGGTCGAGGCAAAGAGGGAGACGAGTGATGCAATTCCCCGGAAGCCAAGCCAGAGAGGACACGGGGAGGAAGTGAGGAAGGAGGAGGAGGAAGGAGGGGAGGGGAGGTTGCTTCTGTCGAACTCGGCGAATGTGCTGACGAAACAGTTGCATTTGGAGAAAACAACTTATATCTACTAGTCTTTTATCTAATATTTGTAGATTTTTTAAAAAAAATATAATACTTTTGTTGTTTTGTCTAGTTTTGTAAAAAAACTGCAGTAGGCGGGGGACACCCTGAACTGGTTGCCAGCCAATCGCTGTGCACACATAGACGAACAACCATCCGCGCTCAATTTAGAGTGTTCCATGAACCTGCCACGCATGTTTCTGGAACGTGGGAGGAAATCACAATACCCGGAGAAAACCCACGCAGACACAGAGAGAACATGGACACGCCACACAGAAAGACCAGAGCCAGAATTGAACCCTGCACCTCTGCACTGTGAGGCCGACACGCTCACGTGTCTTCCACCGGGCTGCCCTTTGTTTCATGTTTCATCAAATTTTTATTCACGTATCTTTGCTGCATATTTTTGTTGAGGTTTTTTGTTGCTTATTTACTCAGATTTTTCTTCGTTTTGTAATTATTTTTGCATATTTCTACAATATTTTTTCTAATATTTATGACTCTTCCCATCTGATATTTCGCACATTTTTTTGCATTTTGTCTCGTATTTGAGGACAAGGGAAGGGAAGAAGCAGCAGGAAGGAGAAGGAAGGAGGGAATGCTGTTTGTGGGGGCGCTCTGGAAAATGCACTGAAGGGAACTGTTGCGTTGTGGGGAAACACCTGACTAAGCGTGCCACAAATGTTACCAAAAGAGCGTGTGAGTCACTTATTAAGGCTGCGATCTATTTTGGCTGCAGGAGGTAAGCCCTCTATTTCTGAACACGGCGGCAGTGGCAGCGAGCGGCCGTCCGTCCTTGAGTCTCTCAAGTGCGAGATTCGGTTACAACGGAGGGAACACTGGCAAGGACGAATGAAGGAGGAGGAGGAAGGAGGGAGGGAGGAGAGGAGGGGGGGGGGCACTGGGGACACAGGCGGTGAGTCAGAGGCCAAAGTAATTCCATCTTGGAATTCCGTCTATCGTTTCATCAATGGAAGGATGGAGAGGCAAGGCTGATCAATGAAATGCCAGGGAGTGTCAAAAAGTGATCTTTCCAATGCCTTTCATTTAGTGAAAATAAGTCTGCGGACACCGGATGAAAGCGTCTTTGTTTTGCACATTCCCACACTATTATTTGCTCATTTGCTCGGCATTGTATTGAGTCACTTTGTGGCTTTGGCAAGCCAAAGTCTTTCCAAAGAAGTCCTCCGAGGGACACATTTAGGAAACAATAGGATTCATTACAGCAATGTTTCCCAACTTTTATTGAGCCAATGCACCCGTTTTTCAGGAGGAAAAATCTCACCAAAAAATAATAATGTCACAAAAAAGTATGAAAATTTAAATGAGAAACTTAGCAGCCTTCCTCGGTGTCCTAACACTTCAAACAACGGATGTTTGAAGACAAATTGTATATATATTCTTTATCCATTTATCCACTGAGAATTTGTCTGCATGACTGTATTGTACTGCCCCTGAAAAACATGACATTTATGTATTTTTCCACCTATTATGTTTTGTTTTTTTGTTTATGTGCAACATTTTGCTTTATTATTTGTGGGGACATTTCTAATGTTTGTGTCTATTGTGGTTTAATTTATTTTCTCGTATTTTTTATTTTATTTATTTTTTGACAGTCGCTCGAGAAATCTCCTGGGATAGGCTTCTGTGACCCTCTCCGGCAAAATCTGTTGCACTTTGGAACATATGACGTTCTCTTTGAATGTAACGTGTTATATCACCTGACCAGCTGCGATGAATCAGGTGCTTCTTACTTCCACTTCTTGTCCTTGACCTTGTCTGTTTTGTTGTACTGCCAACTATCAAGGGAAAAAAAAAGCCAGTGAGAATCCTCCTTAGATCAACATGACACAAAATGTTTAATCGTGCAATAGGAGCAGGGAGCCACAAAAAGCCTGTTGCTGAAAGGAAATCTTTGGCCTCATGTTGCTACAAAAAGCATCGAGTCTCATCAGTCCAACAAAATTTGACCACAATTATGAAGTTCTGCTTTCAACGCTGTGGTGTCCTCATCTTGCTCTCGAGGTTCCGGCTCGACTCGCCAGGGCGAGACTCTCGTGGTGTGGCATACAGCCAATCGAGACAAGCCTGGACTCTTGTCTGTGTGTGTGTGTGTGTGTGTGTGTGTGTGTGTGTGTGTGTGTGTGTGTGTGTGTGTGTGTGTGTGTGTGTGTGTGTGTGTGCATGTGTGTTTTATTGCAAACTCACCCTTAAAATCAAATGTGTTTGGTCACAGTATAGTCTATCACCCTAACGATAAGATAATCAAGGTTCACCCCCTTAAATAACATCAGCAAATAAATATGTTAGGTTAGCACATGTGCCTAACAGTTCTGAGGTTGGGGGTTCAACTGCAGGCTGCAGACTTCCTGTATGGATTTTGCATGTGCTTTTGTAGATTTTCTTCAATTACTTTGGTTTCCTCCTGCATTCCAAAACCATGGATGTTAGGTTCATTGACAACAACAAAACCGTAAGTGTGAATGGTTGTTTGTCTATATATGCCCTATAATTGTTTTGTTATCTTTCCAGCATTAAGACTGAGAAGAAAACATACAATTGAGGTTTTTGACGCTTGCTAAACCAAGGTCTGAACCGTACCATCGTAGCACCGACTCCACAGAAGGGAAAAACATGAATGGAATGATTGATGTTTATTGTTGAATGAGTCTGAGGGGAGCGGAAGGCCAAACCACCGCAGAACACGGAGCTGGACCCAGTGGCGGTCGGTCTGGCTCGGCCCCAGTGCGCTTGTCTGGTACAAAGAGAAGACTGCGGTTCTTGGAGCTCATACACCAGCGCTTCACCGCTGCTTTGCTCTCTTCCCAGTTAATTTCTGCATTTTAGCATCTGCTGCGAGTATGAGTCATATCTGGGGAGAAGCTGCAATGCTTTCGCATTGACATCCGATGGATACACTCCATCCAGATTACACGGTTTTGGTGTAGATAGAGGGATTTATTTTCCACACATCTGTCACTATACTCTGCATGAATTTCGGACCAAGTAAGGGCAGTGGTATACTAGACCCAACAGATAGGGCTAGTTAAAAAAATTGTAATAATAAACATTGTAACGTGAATTACTGCCCTCTATGGGACTGGAAACTATTATCTTTTTAATAGTTTTTCTTTTGATCAATAATATAAATTTTGATAACTTGATATTTTCGTCCTTCACCCTCAATCTGGTTTAATTAAATGTTTGGGAACCCTTGAATACAGTGAGAAGAATAAAATGAAATTAATTTGTGTGAGTACAAAGCTCTGGCCCTGCTTGCAGTATGAGTCACCGAAGCGAGGGAACACTGCAGGCTTGTAGGATTCATTATGCTAAATGGGAGCTGTATGGATTTCTTTGAGGAGGAGACAAGAATCCTTGGCAACAGCAGAGCATTCTCCACCGTGCACGTAACGTTGCATGTATATTTACAATGTGTTTTGCATCTCGGAGGATGATTTATGCCATTCTGAGTATGAATGGCTTACTGACACTCTCCCTTGAAGGTGCTTGGTTATCAGATGTCTCTCTTACCTAACTCCCAAGTTATGTATCAGCAGGAACGGACTATTTTAATCACCTAGTTTGACGTACAATGTTCAGTACTAATTAACTGCTGGATGTCAGAATGAAAAGGTGAAAAAACTGAAAAGGATGAGATGTAACCGTATGTATTGTACTGTATACGGTACAGTTATATATTTTTTTAGTTGGCTCGCTATGTTGACAAGCTAGGCAATAGCGCCATCATGTGGACAAAGTGTGAACCTAAAAGCACAAGCTCCTCGCTGATTTCCATGTGTAAATTGAAAAATAAAAAATGAAATGCCAATAAATCATCACAGGACATCTATTACTTACATAAATGCGAAAACCATGACAAAAATGTGCCATTTCAGCAAGGACAGAGAACAAATACATATCCAATACAGTGTAAACCTTCCATCTAAAAATCCACATTGCGCATGCGTAAACCCGCACTGGGCCTTGGAGATATACGGAGTCTCTTTGGAGACAAACTAGGTTAAAGCTGTTGCGAAAGCGACTATTTGTGAACACATTTTGTTAAAAATTGTCATATATATTGATAACAGACGTCCCTAAAAGAACACCCATGACAAACCTGCAAAGTATTGCTTTTATTTATACTTTCTTCGCCTTCATGTTGTTTGTCTAAACGGAGTTGCCGTCCATCTTCCCCTGCGGATTAAGTTCCGTGTGCGTTTCGAGTACGCTGAGGGATCAGCGTTTTCGACTGTTCAGAGGGGCTGCCATTTTAGCGACCTTACGGTAAGAAAGTCGTTGCGATCCTAAAATTAGGAGCATGAGCCTCAGCCCTGTGTTTTTCTATGCAGTTTAACGGTAGCTTTCGTTCGCCCGTATTGCCAGGACAACGAAAGGGGCACAGATTGTATTTTAATGTAAAAATAATATGGGTTAGCGTCGTTATTTGAATGCATCTTTCCGGAAAACGTTTCTGCATGAATGCCATTGGGCTTATATGTAAGACTGGCTATGATCAGCACTGGCTATGATCTACGCTCTTTTTATTCACACATTTATTAAAACACAGATAGTAGGTATGCTAGGATGAAGGTTTCAAATTACGGTTACAAGGTCAGTGTTGGGGTTTCAAGTTCGGGTATTGAGTGGGAGAACCCAAAAGTGGTGGTAACCCCTTTCTTTCTTTGATATCTAACTTGTTTCAGCCACCCTTCTTACCCTCCATCCTTTCAGACCACCCTGCAGCCCTCCGTTTCGTCTTTGCATACATCAGTCTAAAAAGTGTAAAGCAGTGCCTTGAGGCTCGGGTTTCAGCGAGTTCTGAGACCCTGCTCAAAGGATCCTTCCCTATTGAAATTAAAGGAAATGCCATGAATTCATTCTTGTACCCCGCCCCAAATTCAACCACAATGTAAAGAGTTTTTGTTGAGAATAGCATACTATACTATTATACTTTATACGAAACAAATATGAAGTAATTACATCGTTGTATTTACTTCAATTTGTGTGCCTAGGCCACCTGGGGGCAGTATAGTACACAGCTAACGTTATAGTACACACCTAACGTTATACTGTACATCGATCCGTCTCAGCTTCTCATTCGGTCACCACTGTACCTCTTCGTTGCACCCTGTTACACCTGCCGTTACAACTCTTGTTTCCATCAGAGTCACTCTATGATGGGCATGGCGGTGGTCCAGCTCAAGTCCCAAACCCACCACAAGGATATCCTGGACGCCCTGCACCACCTGAGGCTGCAGGGACACCTGAGTGACATCACAGTCCAGGTCGACTACCAGGGCCACTCGCGGGCATTTCAGGCTCACCGGGTGGTCCTTGCTGCCTCGAGCGGCTACTTCAATAACATCTTCCTGTCACTGGATGCCATCCCAGACCACATCCCGCTCTCCAACATGCATCCATCTGACTTTTCTGACTTTTTGGAGTTTGTGTACACTGGTAAGGCGAAGGTGGCCCGGGGCAGGATGGCCGACGTGCAAGCGGCGGCCAAGATCTTGGAATGCAGAGAGCTAGCCAGGGTTTGCAGCATGAATCGTACATCCCGGTCGGATGCGGTAAAGAAATCATCACAAGTGACTACGACTGGCAAAAAAAAGAAGCCATTGAAACGTCAACTGCCTCAGAAGAGTTCAGAGCGGCTTTCAAAAAGACATAAGGTGAAGACCACCAAGCTCAAACTGAGTTTGGGTGGCCGCAAAGTCTTGCAGAGAAGTATCCCAACTAGAAGCGAGTATAATGGTGAAGAGGAAGATGACTATGTGTACTCGTCCTCCCCCACCTCACCTCACTTTGATGACAACACATCGAGTCTGAATGATACAGAGGAAACATTGCTGTTGTCCGGGGGCGAGGAAGAGGGCATCAGGGCGTCCAACAGCACCTCCAAGGGGAAATTCTCGTGCAGTGAATGTAATCGGAGCTTCCACTACGAAAGGAGCTACCTGAAGCACATGAGGTAGGTGCTTGGTTTTCCGGGGTTCCCAAACCTATTTGGTCTAGGGACCCCTAATTCAGTTATTACTGAGCACATATATATTTGTCAACTGGAATCTAACCTGCCACACGTTTTACTAGATTAAACACAGGCGGATTTTATTTATCATCATTGTCCTTTCGGACAATATTGGATAATTCAGAAATCATCGGGGAAATTTTGGAGTCACAACTCAACTCGTTGTCCTCCGCTTCACGCTAGCACCTGCCACGGAGTCAAAGCTGACCTGGTTTACCGCTGCGAGACCTGCCAGAAGACCTTCTCCAACCGCAGCAACTTGAGGATCCATGAGAAGCACGTCCATAGCAGTGAGCGGCTTTTCACATGTGAGATCTGCGCCAAGACCTTCAAGCGCAAGAAGGATGTGGTGCGCCACCACAAGCAGGTCAGGACTGATGAGGTTGCAAATGGGTGAAAGACATCCTGTGAATTTCCACCAGGGTTCTGGTAAATTCCCATGAGAATTTCAGCTGGGGAATCATGGAAAATTTCTATCGGAATGCATGGGTATTAAAAAGCAACAGAAAGTCCTAATTCATTTCCAAGGAAAACATTCTTTTCTGAAAATTTCGTCGGATTTTGCAACTCGAGCAGCACCAATACTTTTACCGCATTTCCTGACTCGTCCATCTTGCCTTTTTAGGTGCACGATCCTCATGTGCACCAGTGCTCCGACTGTGGCAAGTCACTGAGCTCCAAAGCATCCCTAAAGTTGCACAAGCGGACGCATAGCGGCATCAAGGCCTTTGTCTGCACCGACTGCGGAGCGCGCTTCACCCAGAACTCGGCTCTCAAGATGCACCACAGGTACAAACTTGGCCACGGAACGAATTAAACTCACGAGGTACCGTTGTACTCTGTTTAATCTAAATAATACATTTTTGTTCATCTATCGATGCCAGCAAAGTATAGTGACAGGCAAAACTACTGAATTCAGCTCCATGAAATGGCAGAAAAGATTTATAAATGTCTGGCTGTTGGTTGTCTTTAGAATCCACACGGGTGAGAAGCCCTTTGCCTGTGATGAATGCGACTCCCGCTTCACCCAGAAAAGCATGCTGGCCTATCACAAGCGCTCGCACACGGGTAAGACGACAACCCAATTACGATCTTGTCCATTATGGCGCTGTAGTCAACTTTTGTTGTTGTCCAAGGCGAGAAACCCTTCATGTGCGAGGCCTGCGGGAAGAGCTTTGCCTCTAAGGAATACCTGCGGTATCATTCCAACATCCACACAGGCTCCAAACCGTTCAAGTGCGAGCACTGTGGCCGGGGCTTCGCCCAGAGGAACTCCCTTCGGCAGCATTTGACAGTGCACACAGGTAAACATTTGGTTTGGATCTTCCAAGTTTGAAAGCTGAGATTGTCATTTGACATCCCGCACCCTGCCCTGCCCCAGGCGAACGTCCTTACGCCTGCACTTACTGTGACAAGCATTTCACGCAGCTCAACGCTCTCCAACGGCACCAGCGCATCCACACCGGTGAAAAGCCCTACATGTGCGGGTTGTGCAGCCGCACTTTCACTGACAAGTCGACTCTTCGTCGACACACCGCGGTGAGTTGCACGCCATCTCGAAACTTGACTCGAACAAAAGACCCAACAGATGGAGAAATGAAAGTGTTGGAACAAACAAACACAAAATTCTGACGGACTAACCAAAAACTATCCAACCACTAACGTAACACAAAAAGCAAAAACAAACCCCAAACTGAAAATAAATTAAACAATAGTACAAATATAAAAAATATAATAAACCACATCTTGTGACCTTTTCCTCCACTGTGTCCCAACTTAAGACTCATGATGCCAATGCCCCGTGGAAGAACTACCTGGTGGTCTTGGAGGGCAACGTGGAGGAGAAGAAATCCAAGGCTACAACGCAGGAGAAAAAGAGCGCTGCCAAAAAAGCATCGAAAAGCAACGTCACCTCTCTCGGTGCCGCAGTGCCTCCTGAGTCGGGGGCCATCACCCTGGTGAATCATGACCACCTGGGCATGATCACCACCATCCAAACTGAGATGATGTCTCAGGATCAGGCGGTGACGTCAGATGGGAGTAGCGGTGGCATCACGTTGGACAGACCGTTTGCCATTCCTGTGGAGGCAAACTCCTCCGAAAACACCCACTCGCTCCCCGTGGATACCCCCTCCATGTCATCCCTGCTGGAAGAGGCCGCCTCGCACACCATTCTGGCTCACGAGGCCGAAGCGGCGCAGCTCAACATTCTGACCGTGGTCGTGTCTGACAAGATGTGTAAAGATGAGCAAATGCGGCAAAGAGAGCCAGAGAGGAAAGGAGATGACGGCCAAGCCAATCCTGAGAACGTGTGAACGTAAATACGAATTCCAATGGACTCCATGTTTAACAGTCATGGCTGTATTAAATCACAATTTGAGCTTATTTTCAGCTGTTGTACTTGCTACGTGAATTATGTTGTGAACATTAAAGGAATTGAGATTTTGAATCAAAGCAGAAATAGTGGCTGGCAGCACACCATTCATGAAAACTAGTTACAAAAAGACGTTTTCTGGTATGCATAATTCATAATATGGGGTTATGAATTGCAAATAAGGAGCCCTGTATCAACAAAATAAATAAAAGATGTCATTACATTTTGGTCCCATATAAATGAATTTACAAAGTGTGTTAGCAGAAGGATATTTTTTCTATATTTGCTGGGAGTTAAACCATTAGCATATTATAGAATGTCATTCAAATCAATAACTCCAATGTGTTTTGAGTTCTTCTGTGGAACACAAAAACAATGCGATTTTGGATGACTTGGTGCATAAAACATGGCTGTGGAGCCTAACAGGGATAGAATACAACTTTATTGTCCATTTGCACAAGCAAAAGTTTTTTTTGTGTGTGTTTTTTTTTTTTTTTTAAGATCCGGAATAGGCTGGATACTTTGGTGATAGATTGGAAGCGACACAGGTGGGGAGGGGCATGCTTGGTGAGGAGGTGGAACGACATGAAATGATAGAGAGCTCCCGACATGGCAGAATAGCCGTCAATAAGCATTGAACCGGACAAAATCAGTCATAATGGTAAATAAAACAATCCTGAGGTATTCTAAGCACATGGAGAGGAAATGGCTTTTGATATGCATAACAGTCTCTTTAATGCATTTCTAAACTTTCTGAACCCGCGAGAACGTCGTCATAATGTGTTTTAAGTAGAACAGGATTGATATTTATAATATTTGCTACAAACAGTTCTGAATTTGTGAGAAACACGAGCAATTTGAGAATCTTTTCGCAAGGTTTTAGTGCACTTCCTTTAACCTTCATTGTGTCGCTTGCAAGAGGATGTTGTATGTGTCACAGTAAAGAAAAAAAGATTGTGGTGGATCGATAACTCTGTTTCTCTCTGATGGAAAAAAAAGGAAAAAAAACTTTTTTTAAATTTAGATTCAACCACGGTGAATATTTTTTTCTCCCTATCGGATCATGACCCAATCGTGCTATGCGAAAGGTCACAAAAATGCAATTATATTTAGCCATTTCAAATATTAAAAAGCATATGTATCGGCTGCAAAGGTCTCGTTTTCTTTATAGTGTCACACCTCATTGAGAATATGGGAGTTACAACGACAAAAAGAAAAACCGTGAATGACTAACATGAGGTATACAGAAGTCTTCCACGCGAGACGAGTGGATGTGGAGATGCTTTACATATCGACTGGATTTGGAGGGAAACGTCACTGTAGCACAATGTTTTGTGTGTGTGTGTGTGTGTGTGTGTGTGCGCGTTTGGGGGGGTGGGACATGCGCATAACTTGTTTGTGTGGGCGTCCGCCTACTCTCATTTGAGGTCTCCCTCGTCACCCTGGATGGTCTTTTTGATGCGCAGCAGCAGCGTGGTGTGCCATTGGTCCAGACGCGAGATGGAGTCAAACTCCTTGACCTGAACCACAAAAGCATGGCGCGATTGTGAAGCAAGAAGCAGATGGCCACAATGAAGAGAAAAGGTGACAAAAAGAGAGTGTGTGGATCAGCCAAGAACAAACTGGCCACTCTCAGTTTTAAAAATCAAACGTGGCCCTTGAGCCTCCTGAAACAGACTTACCGCCTCAGTGAAGGCCTCGCTGTTCTGTTCCTCATGTGCCTCAAGCAGTTTCTTTAAAAAAAAAAAAAAACAGTAGATTATTACAACTTTTGTTTGAGAAACAAAAACTGGATGGTGGTTACCTTCAACAGTTTGCATTCTCTAGAATCTGAGAAAGCCGGGAACATTTCCTCATATTTCTCCACAGCAATCTATGGGGAGGACACAACTGGATGGGAGAAGGTCTTACCAGCGGCGTAGAAGAAACCCTCAAGAAGCACACTTGCCTTAGCGTTGAGCTCGTCCACGATGAAATGACACAGCGCCGCTTTGAAGAAATACTCCTTTGCGCTGTACTTAAGAAGCGGGTTGTCCATCGTGTTGGCGCCGACCTGTTTGTATTCATATTCATAAAAATCATTCAGCCTCATTTATAGATACCAATTATACCAGTTAATGACATTAATTTCCACTCATTTCAACCAAACTGTCAACTAAGTGTACATTTTTAGTAATTGTTGTCCCACAAGGATCAATGCCAGACTCCATTTTGGCCACGCTTTTACCTGCTCATAGATCTCAATGGCCTTCTGGTACTGCTCCAACTGAGCACAGTAGGCCCCCACCTTCAGCAAACACTTGTTGGCCGAACTACAGGAAGAGAGGAAGTTGTTACGTTACAAAATACTTGATATCATCGGACACTGAGGGGGAACCGAAGCGCATACTGGACAGACTGTAAATCAGGTGTGTCAAACTCGTTTTTGTCACGGGTCACTTTGGAGTTATCATGAACATATATTTTTAAACATACAATGCTTTATTTTTTTTCAAAATCGCGTCACTATTCTTATATAGATTTCTCGCAGATAACAATTTTGAATACCTGTTAGATTCCTCTCCCTTGTAGTAATCTGCCGCTTGCTCAAAATGTGCAATCGCCTTTGTAGAAGAAAAACAAACACTATTAACTATTCTCGGGCAATAGTGGCACATATTTCCAGAATAAATTAGAAGTGTACTTTTTCGATGTCCACCAGGTCAGCCTCATAGATTTCGGCGATACTGATGTGATGTTTGGCAGCGATGGTGAATCTTCCCTGGAATGGATTTATTTCAATGAATTATTTAGTTGTTAAATGAAGATATTTCTACCAGTGTCAATCAATTTTTTGCAGTATTACCTTTTGAGACAGCTTCTGTGTTGGATAACATTATCTTGTTTAGCTAATGAACTTACTACATATTTTGCTTTCTTACCATGTCTGTGTAAATATCGACGGCGGCATTTAAACACTTGATTGCCTCTTTTGGTAGCGTAAAGAAGAAGAAGAAAAGGAAGAGAAGGAAGAGGAGGAGGAGGGGAATGTTAAGTCATGAAAAGTGTTAGTTTACATGACAGGACAGAAGTTAAAAACCAGAGAACACAAAAAGACACACAAAATGGCTACTGGAGACAACAAAATGTGTACAGCTTAAGCATTCCCAGTCTATGTTATCGGTCCAGAGGCTCACCGTTGGGATCGGACTTCTTGTATGCGTTGCCGGCGTCGATAAAACTGGTGGCGCAGTCGTGTTTGTTCTGCAGCTGCATGTGGAGGTGCGCAGCCTTGCAAAATGCTCCACCAGCAGCTAAAAAAAATGTTTAAAATAGTTATTTAACATTCAGAACCATGAGTCAGCATTAACTTGGCAGCACTATCATAAAATGCTGCTCTGTGCAAAAAAATGGGGGGGTTTGTGTTTATTTTTCATGTTCTTAGCTCACCACTCCAGTTCTTGGCCATCTTGAACATGTTGGCTGCTCTGCAGTACATCTCACAGGCCTCCTCCACTTTGTGATGTCCTCTATGCAGAAAATAGAGAGGAGAAAAGGTAAATGACGCTTCAATAAAGCCCCGTATTGTGTAACCCACTAATTGGAGTGGACTCTCTGAGGAGTTCAGTCTGACAGTAATAATAAACGAGGCAGCCAGCCAATCATGCTCAAGGATGACATTACCCCCATGGCCAACCACAGAATTACCGACGTTACTAAACATTAATTTTTGCCTTTTTTACATATTTTGTCACTTATTTACGTCATAAACTCAACCAACGAGGAAAGTGCTGAATAATGCTAATGCAGTCATCTTAGTGATTTTTCTTTTATGGACGATGTGGTGCCAAATTCACTCTTTAAAATGATTAGCCTGCTGCCGAAAAGTAGAAAAAAATGTCGTGAAGGAATACAAATAATCATGATGAGCTAGCTTGTTGAAAGTATCAAGAGGCTAACCAATGAGTTAACACGTCATGCCCTCGTAGTTGAATGTCTATATTTATTTGTTTTATTTATTTTTACTTAATACATTAACAAACCGGTTCTAGGCGTAAAGAAACGGGCTGTGTGCCAGGTAATGTCACGGAGAGCAGCTTCCTTACCCGCCAAACATCCCTCCCAAAAAAGAGCCCGACGACTTGACTTTCTTGTCGGCGTCGGCCATAAGCTGTATCGCCTCTTTTTCTTTCCCACTGTTGTCCATGTTTTTAGGTTATAAACTTTGTTATTTAAAGGCAGAAAAGAACCGCAGAGGATTGACTTGTCAGAGCAGGGATTACGCAGAGCGGTTTTGCGCAGCAGTGTGGTTCTTAGTCGCTTCGACTGGGCAACGTGGGAGTTGTATTTTTACGTCAGCGTCTGCGCATGACTTTTGAGTGAAAAAGAACTACAACTCCCAGCTCAATGTAAAAAAAAAAACAACGAATGATTTTACACGAACGGAAGCGACGTTAAACACCAGTGTCGTTTTTCGTTGTCAAGGTAACATTTTACATTGTATTGTTTCTTACACTATACCCTACCTCCTAACACCATAAATACAAAATGTTAAAAGTGAAAGTGACTGATAAAGTAGCTAACAATTCTGACCAACAGATGGCGGCAGACTATTACAATTTAAACTTACTGTAATTGCTTTTCCTGGAAATTAAAACGCAAAATTGTGTACACACGCACTCCAGGTTCACAGTTTATTATATTGAGGTGGCTTGTTTACAGTAGCAAATTACACTACGGTTCCTTTTCGACATGCTGTTTAGTCTATATGTGATTTGCAATTCACGCATTAAAATATATTGCACACCCTTCGTCGTAATTTATGCCTTACTGGCCCATATCATCGAGAGCCATATGGCTCTTGGCCTGGAGAAAGTCAACACAACAAAAAAAAACCATGTTCATCTTAATTCTTTGAAGCAAAGAGTATGCTTGTTCGCATCCTGTTCCAAAAACTCAGCATGAAAATGTGTCTGTACAAGACATTGCAAGATATACACCACCAAGCGATAAAGTATTGTTGCTATTTTGTATAGGATACTAGAAACAATGTAACAGAAGGCAAAACAGTCCTCCACCTAAAGCTTCCTCATGATAGTTGACATTACTCCTACGTTGGGGAGGTGGAAACAATAAGCTCCACAAAGTCAATTTGCATCAAGTTTAAAGAGTGATGTGTTGCATTTTTACACTTCACATGCCACGTTATAATCATTTCCGCTTTCACAAAAAGGCCACTAATTGAGGGGAAAAAAAGCTCAACAAAAGCAAGACTAAAAACAGGTTTGAAGCTCTTATTTGAACAGGTTCCTCATCTTCATACAACAAAGAGGATGCAGTGGTTATGATTGCACGACTGTCTGTGTCTTGAGTTGTGTTGTATTATTTTGTTATTTTGACTTCAAGCTGGCGCCACGAGAGTGTCTGCCTTTACAGCAGCTCCTGTAGTTTGTTCCACTTCTTCCTTTCATAACTTTGCTGCTATGAATTGGGAATTTCTCCATTGTGAGACTAATAAAGGTTTTCTTATCTTATCATCCCTACTGCTTTAAAGGTAAATGGCTACATGCACAAAAACAATGGCACATACTGTTGTACTGTGACAGCTGCGGTAATCCACTGTTATATTGCAGTTCACTTGTTGTGGTCCAGGTCTATCGCAGTTTCTTTTCACATTTTCTGATTTTTTTTCCTTTGTATTTGTGTGTGTGCGTGCATTGAAATACTCTTTCTGTGTTTAAACAACGTGGTTAAAGCGTGAAGAATGGGTATGTTAGGTCGTATATTACAATCCGTTTTTTTTGTTTGATTATTCAATTGATTTTTCAAGTATTTTAGGCTTGCAAGTGTTGTGTTTAAAAAGTCTACTTTAGACACAGATAAGTTTGGTATGTAACTCCTGTGATGAACGGTGGATCGCGGCACATTGCCTAATATCACACTTCAGTATCCCTGCCTAAAATCTGAACGCAGAGGCAAGCAGTCACTACAATTGAAATTCAAAGTGGCCATTTTGTGCACATCAGCGAAGGTACTTGTCAAATTCAAACTCAGAACACAAAATTCCTTTTGTAAGAATTGGACGGGGCTACGAGGAGCTGAGGCCAGAGTCGGACTCGGCACTGCCGCTGCAGGCCCGCTCCTTGCCAGCGACACATGGCGCCATGGAGCATGGTATGGAGTAGCAGGAGCAGGCGGGACTCTTAAGGGTCTCGTCTGTGATGACCTCCCGCAGGGAGTGTTGCTCCTCCACCTGGAAGATGTTGGGCTGCTCCGCTTGTTCCTCGCAGATCCTAGAGAAACAGAAGGGGAGATTGCTTTGCTTTGATACATTTCTATCAGCAGTGTCAGCAACATATTATCATTTTGGTGAATTACATTAAGCCATTTTACACTTAAGATACAAAAATGGGACATGAGGCAAAGAAAAAAAACATTAATTAACGCACCCATTTTTGTTGACCTTAGCACAATGAGTACAAACCTGCATTTGGTCTCAGTGGGTGATTGCATTAATTGCTCTTCGGTCACTTTCCATTGTTTTCAAATTATTGTGAAAACAGCTGCAGTTTTGTTGGTATTGGAGCTTTGGGTATGCCTGTATTTTTTCTTCAAACAGTACCAAACCTAAAAACCCTCGGGGTACTTCAAGCCTTTTCTTGGACTTCGCACTGACACGAAATGACAGAACAGGTTGCATCTGAGCCTTAAAAAGCAGAGTGGCACTTAGTTGTCCACTTCTGCCACTCTGCAGTGTTGAAAACAACAGTTGCCATCCATGTAAGTGTTTTACACGTCACACCAGATGTCACGTAATTATTATCATTTTCAGATTGCAGGAGGCCATGCCGCAGTTGAGGCAATATCCTGTCTGTTACATATCCGTTGCAGCAATTTTATGTCTAAATATGGACAACCTGATGAAGAACTGTAATGTGGCGTCTATGTAGGTATGCAAGCAATCCCCATACTGATGCATATTTTATTTTTAATTTTGTCTAAAGCTTGAGGGTGTTTTTTTAGTATAGTGTGACAGCTAAGTATCCCAAATGTTGAGGCAGAAGGCTGGTGATCTTTTAAGCTTTCGACATAAAGTGAGGCTGTAATCCCTTTAAAGACTATCATTTGAACTCCCCCGGAGGATCACATGCTGCAGAGACCAAACCGAGTGTTTGTTCTGTAATGTTTACGCTACTAAAAACCTTGATGCTAAAAACACATATAGGATCCCCATGCAATTCAATTAGCGCTGTGAAGTCGGAATGTTTGACAAGACTCATGAATAACTATCCAAGGCTTGGCCCTTGAGGCATTTTGTGGCCCATGGCTGTTCTAGTGAGCAATGCATCCAACACACCCAGTGCCTCATGCAAAAGCTTGTCATTCAAGTCTGAAGCAACCCAGCCACAGAGCGCGACATGCCAGGACCCATAAGGCAAAAAGAAAATGATAAGTCAGGGCAGTTGACCAACCATTTCTTGTTTGGTTCAGTCCCACTGCACTACTCCGGGTTAATAATTAAGAAGTGCATAACAAGTCAACTGTCTTGCATTATCACTGAGGAACATTGAAAGCTCCTGGTTTCCCAAGTCAAATATGAGCATCCAAGCACTAAAATGCCAGAGAGACTTAACAGCAATCTGACGGACTCGACTCCAAATTTGGCAGTGAAACGTCCGTAATTCTGGGAGTAAAAAAAAAAACAAAGAGTTAACACAAGTGCCTGTGGAACATGTCGCAATGCACGATGAATTGTATTGTGGAGAGGAGCAGAGGAGAAGGTCACCCACGGGGTGATTATTTTCTTGTCTGATGTGACGAGCATTGAAGATGTGGAGAAAATGTGTTTGCAGAAACAAATCTGTGAGAAGGCAGAAGAGAAACAAACACAACCTGCTGACCTTGCAGCTTTTCACCGCCAGGCAACTTTGTGACCCGCTCCAGAATGAAAACATAATCAACTGGAACAGCAGTGGACGTCCGCCAAAGCCAAATAACCCCTATTTGTCATCCCGGGAAATTATCATCAAATGTTCCTGTTCCTGTTCCTGTAGGAGATGGTAATGCAACTAACAATTTGGTCACTTTCCCACCATGCACAAATGCGATCGGGCTTAAGAAGTGAAAATAAGTCATTTCGTCATGTTGACCTCAATGCAGTAAGCCAGGATTGGGTTCAAATCTGGGCTCCGGCCTTCCTAACACTGACGGAGTGCTCAATAACTCTAAATTATTCATATTTCATGAAAAATAATTGTTAAGGCAAGACAAAGACTCTGCCCAACAGTGACAGTGCGTGTCCTGCCACTGAAAGTCAGTTAGGCTCCAGCTCACTCACGACCAGAATGAGGACGAGTGCGATGACGAAGGAAAAAAAGAAAATAAAAAATAGAGGCACGGATGTCTTACCTGTCATAGATGAGTCCGTCAATACCCTGCTCCCTCAGTTTCCTCCTATTCTCGTGCTCGTTGTTGTCATCGCCCCAGCTGAACACCACCAGGCCTTTGTCCTGCGCCTCCCTGATGAGGCTCACGTTCATCATCAGCTCCTCGGTGTGAGCGCTGATGCCCTGGACGACACATTTGTTTAAAAAATTTAAGCCTGATGTCCAAAAACGGGAATAGTGTTCCTGTTTAATATCCAAAGGAGGGTGGGCGGGCTCATACTAGGATGTTCTCGCTCTGAGCAAAGCTCATGGCGATCTCGGTGGTCTGGCAGCGGATGTCCATCAGCTCTGGATACTTTTCAGAGATGCCCTGCGTCAGGAAAAGGATGGGGTACTTGTTCTGCTTGCGGCGCACCCTGAGGGATAAACACAGGAATAAATATGGATATGACTTCATAGGGTTCTATTCTACCAGACATCTAGCGGTTATTTAGTCCAGACTACATTGAATAATACAGTATTGATTACATTATGTGAAAGTTAGTTAACTCAACCCAACCCCATTTAGCTGGGTAAAATTAGCTGTGTTAGCATTTTAGTAAAGTTTGTGTCTTAGTTTGACTGACCACAAAGATGTCACTACTGTTAATGGTGGTATGCGAGCTTACATGGAGCAGATATCGGGGTCGAAGCAAGAGAAGACGATGCGTCGCTTGCCTCCTTCGCGGAGAACGCAGGACAAAATGATGTCTATGAACATGTTCATGTTGAAGTAGGATGACATGTTGCCTTCCCATGACCCGTCCTGTCGGGACAAACGTTGAACACTTCACACATTTCCATAGATTTAGCGGTCGTGTTCTGTTTTAGATGCGTCACCTTCATCTGACTGATCCATTTGAGCTCGATGTTGAAGCCCACATGTTCTGGGAGAGCTTGGAAGAGCTGCGTCGGGGGGAAGAGGAAGGATTTCAATCAATCGAGAAGTCAAAAGAATGATGCTTGTCTTACCTGCGAGAGCGACGGGAAGGGCTGATGCTCGTCAATCTCGTCATCGTCCTCCATCACGTCTGAAACAAAACACCGTTGGGTCAGCTGAGTTCTGTTATTTGACGTCGTATCTGAATCAGCTTTTGGAAAAAAAAAAAAAAAA